ATTATCATTTTTTTGTATCAGTATCTGTATCAGACAAGTGAGATGTTGAATTGTGTTGGATTGCAGATACAAACAATAGAGAAGGTATCATTTGTTAGAATTACAAGAGTCTGTCCATACTCCCCACAGTTTGATTAGAAAAACATGACCCGTAATGGTATCAGAAGTGAATGAGGAATGAAGATCAGACATTGACTAAAGAAGAGAATGGATATCCATTCTTTTCTTTAGTCAATGTCTGATCTTCATTCTTCATTCTGATACCTTTACAGGCCATGTTTTTCTAATCAAAAAAAGTTTAATTTCCATACAACAACTAAGGAGATTGTGTTTGGTATACAATGGGAAGAACTTAAGAAAACAATATACTGTAAACATTGGGATGATACATATTTCCATGCTTGGAAATCTTCCTTAAAAGAATATAAAATGTAGGTTCCATTTATCCTTTGGATTGTTACATGCATAATGTCTTACAATAAAAAATGAATCAGTTCTTCTAAGATCTATTAACAATCTAATGCACATTTTGGCTTCATTAATTGCTCATAAGCAAGTAAGCTGTGCCAGGACTCTCCTCTGAAAGAACCTCTGTTTCCATGCCTCTACAATGTCCTGTCTCTTTGATAATTTTTGAACCGCTAAACATTTTAAAGGCAACTGAGAAGCTCTTCGTAACTAAATTATTTAGGAAGAAATAATAATTGTAAAAGCTCAGAATAAATGACTTCAAAAGATAATGATGCTTTATAAAGATTTTAATAGAAGATAATTGATACAAGATATAATACTTTAGTATCAATTTTAAGTAAAGAGAAGTTCTTATTTCCTCTAGCATGGCCAGTTGATGAGAATGGCTATTTCCGGTGACAATTCTTGATGCAATAAGCTAACAAGACTTTACTACTTTTGGTGTCTTTCATCTTCCTAAAATATGTCTTATTTTTCACTCATCTTAACAACCATGAACCAAAAGAAGACCTATGTATTATAGAAAAATGAAACTGGATTTAAAACTCACATTTAAAAGAAACCTCCCATTTGTTCTCCTTCAATGAAAATGTTTTAAGTTCTTCATTAGGATTTTATGAACTCATCTTTTATAGTTCACAACTTTTCATTTCAAACACTATAACTGGCATTTCTCTCCCCATATCCAAGTATGCATAGAAGTGTATTGCCTTTATCAACTGGTCTTGCTATGGGGTCTTCATATGGGGCCCTCTCAGTAAGAACAACAATGTATAGTTGATGTTGCTTCAAACATATGGTTCTAGTATTAAATTGACTGATAATGTGATACATGGTTTAGCCTAAAACTGTCATAGTTATTGTGTATTAAATCTTAGTTAATTAATTTGATAGGCTAAATATTACTATTATTTCCTAAAATTAGGGCAGTATATTAAAATCTAACAAGAGTTCAGAATAATATAAAACCATGGAAAGTCTGGAGCAAATCTGGTCTCCCATTTGTCATTTTAAAAATTTTGAACAAAAATTAATTGATGGTCTTTATAAAGAAGTTGGTATATAGCAGTGGTTCTCAACCTGTGGGTTGGGACCCCATTTGGGGTCGAACGACCATTTCACGGGGGTCGCCAAACAACACAGTCCGCCATTTTTTTCCCCTTTTCCTTAGCTGTGCTACTCCCTTTTATTCTATTGGCTTTTGAAAGCCTATAGAATAGACTCTCTTGAATAGAGTCTAATTCTATTGGCTTTCAAAAACCAATAGGAATTGTCCAGGCTGTCTCTGCCCTGCTGAGCCCGCGAAAAGTCCCATTCTGCAAATGGTGCTGCACCAGTCGAGTAGTCCTCAACTTACGACCAGTTGAGTAGTCCTCGACTTACGACCGGTTGGGGGTCGCGGCATTAAAAAGGTTGAGAACCACTGGTATATAGCATCATTATTCATCATTTTTATTGAGATTATGCTTCTAAGAAAATCTTGTTCAGTCATTTCAGCAAAGTATTCCCAAATTCAGGTGTCCTGAATTTAATTTTCCATCATTTTAGCTAATGAGGTAAATGATTATACTAGTTGAGGATGATAGGAATCATATTATATCCAGGAGACAATTTGTTATCTATTGCTAAGTTTGAATAATGATCATTTTTGATAAAATAAAATAAAACAATACCATTGAAAATAAATAAATAGATATGTCTTAGTAATTAGATACTAAAGTGCCAATCTGATGTAGTGGTTAAGGCATCAGGCTAGAAACCAGGAGACTATGAGTTCTAGTCCTGCCTTAGGCACACAGCCTGTTGGATAACTTTCAATTGTCACTTTTTCTCAGCCCCAGGAAGAAGAAAATGGTAAACCACTACCAAATCTTGCAAAAAAACCTATAGGGAGTTGTCCAGACAGTCACCAGCAGTCAAGACTGACTTGAAGGCCCTTAAATAAATAAATTACTATATCACTTATAGTAATATTTATCTCACCTTGAAAGTAAAATCTGATGTTAATCTGCTGATGTTATTCTAAATATTACATGTATAGCTGTTTTTTTTAAGTTTTTCAAAATATATCCGCTTAAGATTAATATAGAGATTCCAGTGAGAGAAATATTTACATAATAGTTAGAACTTCATCTGGGTATAAGCCAGATCTCAGCCTTATGATACAATGAAATATCAATGAATTAAATTGATAATCAGATCTTATATTCTCAAGAATTATGTAGCAAATTCAGAAAGCTAGAGGTATTGACTACACAATTCCAGTTCCAAACTTAGCATTCCTTGACAAAACCCAGAAAACCTGTAAATCTTCTCAAATGTCCTTCTAAATCTCTAAAAGCAATGCAGCACTTAATTTGTATGTGTGTGTGTATGTGTGTGCGTAGATTTAAATTACTTTTTGCTAAATTGGATGTATGTAGAGCTTATATAGATTTATAGTGATACTTCTGATATTATATCCATGACTTATTGCTTGAGAACAGGTGCTTTTTAATTAGATTGAGAGATTCCTCTGATTCTTGTGTCAGCTACCAGGCAGAAAGAAGCAACTGGTACTGAAACCTTCCCTGATGTACTCTATCTGTTACAAGGATTGTCCACTCTTTGGTTCTAATTAACCAAAGGAGAAGGAAGGAAGGAAGGAAGGAAGGAAGGAAGGAAGGAAGGAAGGAAGGAAGGAAGGAAGGAAGGAAGGAAGGAAGGAAGGAAGGATAAAGAATGGTTATCTTAAAAGATGGAAGGAAGAATGATAATCAGTTATCACCTGACTAACAATCTGAACGGTTACACAGGTTACCTGGAAACCAAGTTCTTGGCATCTCCCTAAAACTGAAATTACTTTTTTTTACCAAGTGTAGTTTTCACATTGGTTCTTCAGCAAGATATATTGAGAAGAAAGGGCTAGATTTTATAGGAATTCTGGTGATTGAACTAAAGCTGATATGTCCTCAGTGTTCATTGGGACGTAGTTGGCTCATTTTATTTTTAATATTCTTTCTATGAACCAACAGACTGGTTCATATATAATCATTCTCCTGTCATCCTCAGCAAGTATGGCCATTCACCTTTCTATTGATAAATGTCTATGGTCATTCAGGTCATGGTTGTCCCAAAGGTGCTTTTTCAAGAGGCAACTGGACTTCCTTGTTTTTCTTTGAAGATGTTTCGCTTCTCATCCAAGAAGCTTCTTTAGCTCTAATTAGATGGCAGGGAATGGAAGGATTCATATTTCTTGCAAATAGCTGGTCATTTGCATTCTTTTAGAGAGTCGTTGAGGCCACTGGAGGTTTATTAGCCTGAGGACACAGATAAACCTCCAGTGACCTCAATGACTCTCTAAAAGAATGCAAATGACCAGCTGTCTGCAAGGAATATAAATCATTTCATTTTCCACCATCCAATCAGAACTGAACAAGCTTTTTGGATGAGAAGCGAAACATCTTCAAAGAAAAAGTCCAGCTGCCACTTCAAAAAGCACCTTTCGGACTTTCTATTGATAATGAAGGAGCTTGCCGGTCGTTTTTTTTTTTACATAACTATCTTCTAAATGTTTATTGGGTGGGGAAGCCATTGTTATATTTAGCCACAGCCTTTTTCTTTAATGTTAATGTTGATCTCAATTAACCTGTTTCACTTATTTTTAAATATACAAGATTTTGCATTCACACCAAATTATATACAAATTAATTCTTTGTTAATTGTTTTTTCTTCTTTAGTGATAATTAACTGCTAACTCTAAGCCCAAAACTTACCTTGTCTGCAGGTTATCTGTGAAAATGCTATTTAAATCACATTTCTGTTTATAAATTGTGTTTGAAGAAAATACTAAGTATTTCTGTGAACTGATACAACTGATAAAGTTTAGCTTAGTCCCAAAGTAGTCTTCTGAATTAAATAAATGTGATTTGGAAACTTACCTTCATGAAATATCTCTATACTGTCACAGGGATTATAAAAATTATATATAGACACCATTATTATTTTTAAGGTAGTTCAAATTTTTGTTTCTAGAAAGAAAAGCTTTAGGACGGAATTGTATACTTTTTCTTAAGCTTGTCATTCTCTCTGAAGTTTTGTTTTTGTGAACTCTGAAAACCCCTTCGCTGACTCCCTATGCTTGAATTTACCCATTGTGCAGACATCTATCAAATGGGCCATCAGTAGCAGTCGACAAGCAGTAGTACATCCAAGTTTTTTAAAATTCCTTTGATTACTACAGATCCATAGAGCCCTTGGGTCCAGGGCTTCTACTGTAGCACAGCTATTTGCAAATAGATTTTTATAGCACATTAGAGCTGGCGGAGAGTCTAAAAAAAATAGCCTTTTTCAGTATTAGAACCAGCTGTGGCTTTCTTGCTTGGATGAGTCATTCGTATTTTGGCGAGGGAGGGGGAGAGAACTAGCAAAGGACACACAGAGTCTTATTCAAGACTTTGTTTGTTTTTGCAAAGGGTATCCTAGCCACAAGCCAACTTGATCATATTAACTCTAGGTTTATTCAAAGCACTTTCTTTTTCTTTTAACAGTTCCAATTATAAAAACAGAACCCACTGATGATTACGAGTCTGCTCAAACCTGTGGACCAAGGAGCCATGGATTAAGCCCTCTCTCCAAACCGTATTACAGCCAGCAGATCATGATGCCTCCTGATCCTGGCTCGTGCCTTGTAACTGGCTTCGCTTCCTGTCAGCAGAGAAACACTGTGATGTCATCATCTCCCAACTCTAGTCCTAAGCTGCACGATCTTTCCTCTCCTGCTTACAAGTGCATCACCAACCCAGGCCATAATCATCTAGGACTTCAGCAGACGGCTGGAGGTGTCCCCACCATACAGGAAGTGCCAAGGTCTATTGTTGTGCACCCAAGCTCTCCTGATCAGTCATCTCACATCATGCTGCAGCCGCAGGTGAGTCAACATCTGAGCAGTACCTGTTCCCTTGGTAATCAACAAACACTCTATCCCAACAGTCCTTCCTCTCCAGTTCCATCTGTAACCCAAGAGTCAACCTATTTGCAGTCCTGCAGTCCAACTCACTCAACTGTAATGGGCCAACAGCAGCTGCCGAACATTCAAAGAAATGAAACTCCAGCAAATCAGCCACTGTCATTGACCGACTTGCATGAGGACAGTAATCATAATTTGGCCCCTATGCCCGTAATGATCAAGCAAGAACCTGAAGAATTGGACCAGTTATACCTGGATGATGGTAAGTGTGTAGATGTAGAGGTTTGTGTTCAGCCATTTTGTGTTGAGCCATTGAGTTATTGTAGCCTCGTGGAAAATTCAGGAAAGGGGAAGCTGACAACTAACAGCCTTGGCACAGAAGTCTGCTTGGATGACATATGTATAGAAAGATTTATTTACTGTTGTCAATATTAATGAAAGTCCATAAGCTAAACATTAAGCACTATTAGTCATTGTTAACGTATCTGCATGTCCAAGAATTACAATATAATAATATTAACCATTATTGGTCTTGGCTTAAGCTATAACCAATGGCAAGTAGAATGACATTGAAAGCTATCCATCATATAGCAGCTTGAAATATATAAGCCTACCAGTTAGAATTAAATGATGAAAAAGTCTAAGAATAACCTACGTTAAAAAAGGCACAAACATTATTTTCCTTCTCTAGCATCTGAAATTAAAGCTGTTTCCATTGCTACATGAAAGAAAAATCTTTGTTTTGAATTATAAATCATAGCTAAGTTTGTACCTACATTTACCTATTTCATACATATATATTCTGCATGCACCACTGCATTGCTAAAATGCTACACTGAGTTTGTCCAGCTTCCAAAGATAGAATCATTTCAAGCAAGATGAAATCTGGAATTTTATTGCATTACTTCACTGAATTGTGATGCGGTGTTTAAAGTCTTGAATGTTGTGATGTTTGACCCAAGGCAATGAAAGAAGTCCTTCCAAAAGACAAAGAACTGCCTTTGAATAGACTTAATCTTTTTCAATCAATATAATACTTAAAATTCTCTTGTAATAGAAATCAACCACAAGATAGCCTGTTTGGTTTCATGGAAACCAAACATTAAGGCATCATGCTAGAAACCAGGAGACTGAGAATTCTAGTCCTGCCTTAGGCATGAAAGCCAGTTGGGTGATTTTGGGCCAGTCACTTTCTCTCAGCCCATAACGTAACTCTAAGGTGACAAGCCAATTGGATAATTCCTTTTGCAACTAGTGGATGAACTCTCAATGATTGGAAAAAAGCAGATTGTGCACTTGCAGAAAAATACTAGGAAGGAAAAAGAAAAAAAATAGTCACAATTTGTTTCTATGTGTTTTTACAAAAGCATTTGTAATATTTCAGTCTAACCCTAGGCATCATGACTAAATCTAAATTCTCATTTTAAAAATTGAAATGTGAAGCTTGACTAGCAATTGCATTTTCTTGTTCCAGGGATTGCAATATAGTTTTTTAAAGTATCCCATTAATATTTACTATAATTCTGAAAAGAAATTCAAAAGGTATTCATCACATCCAAAATGGCACATCCCAGTTGCTTTTAATATAATATTTATGTGGATAAATATTGCCTGTAAAATATTAAATTAAACAATTAGAAAAATTCAGGAAAGCCCTTTTTATATTCTTATGTCAAGAAGGATGTCTTCATGCCAGAGCATCTGAAACGTATCTTTAATCTAGTTACCTCTGCTGATTTGTTTATGTCAGTGTTTTCCGTGGTATTGAAGTTTTGAGTCATTTATGCACATATTTTTAATTTTTTACCAAATACAGACAAGCATCTGCCATAATACATCCCAGATTTAACCATTGTCAATACGAAAGACAAAAAAAGTCTTATAATGGACATGGCAGTACCTGGAAACAGCAGAATAAAAGGGAGAAAACTGGAGAAAATCACAAAATGCAATGATCTGCAAATAGAAGTAGAATAACTATGGCAAAAGATAGCACCAATTGTAATAAGGGCCTTGGGTGCAATCCCAAAAAGTCTGGAGCCCCACTTGAACACCCATCAGCATTGACAAAGTCATCCTCAGTCAAATATAAAAGGCAGCTTAACTTGAAACAGCTTACATCGTGCAATGATACCTTTAACATCAAATAACAACATCTGTGTATACCAGGTCCTTAAGAAAGAATTGATAGCTGAATAAAAATGCCAAATTCAGTCTAAACATCTGGCTGATTATGCAAACAACCATAATAATAATTTCAGTCAAAATAATTTCAAAAAAACAATTTTAATCAAAATTGAAAGATTATGGCATAAACTGGTTATCATGATCCCAGTGGTTATTAGCACACTGGGTGCTATACCAAAAAATCTTGGACAGTGCATTGACAAAATCTCTGTCAATTACAAAACATCATACTGCTTGGATCTACAGATATACTACACCAATACAACATCCTAGGTTCTTAGGAAAAACTCAATGTGTTATAAAGGACAACACCAACTAAAAAACTGGCAGCTATGATTTCACAGTCTGGGGCAAATAATAATAATAATAATAATAGTAATAATGGTAATAGTAATAATAATAATAATGTAGTAGTAGTAGTAGTAGTAGTAGTAGTAGTAGTAGTAGTAGTAGGTGCCTTGGGTGCAATCCCAAAAGAACTGGAGCTCTATTTGAACACTATTGGCATTGACAAATTTGCCATTAGTCAATTGCAAAAGGCAGCTTTATGGGAATAGTTTCCATTCTGCGACAATATCTGTAACACCATCAAACATCCAGATCTGCCTATCCCAGGTCCTTGGTAAGGACTCGATAGATAGACAAAAATGCCAAACCCAGTCTGAACATCTGGCTATGGGAATAATAATAATAATAATAATAATAATAATAATAATAATAAACCACTTCTAGAAACAGAAAAAGTGATCATATATATGAATATACCACTACATCCCTTTTAAAATAATACAGAAGAGGGAAGGCTACTCTAGCTCACATAGTCCCTACTCCTGAAGCTGAATATGTTTGGTTTTTATCAGAATGTCACTTTTCAAAAGTTTGTAGCTCTCAGAATAAGTTGGCATTTAAGATTATTTTGAAAATGATAGTATTTGTCATTTCAGCATCAAAGGGAGGCCATTTGGATTATTAATCTTATTAATGTTCTTTTGGTGTATTTTGATTCCTACTGCACAATGCCATTCAGTTGTGAAGTTATTTCCTACCATTAAGGACATCAAAGAAATTAGCAAGGGTTATCAATAAATGTTATCTCTATAAGTGACAAGGGAACACGTCAGCACTAACAGGAAGAGACTCCTGGAAACTAACTGATGAGCCAACTTTTCTACACAGGGAGATAATATTAATCAGTTTTTTTCTTGAATATGTTGATAACAATTCATGTTTTACAGAAAAACAATGAACAAATAATAGTAATTCTTCAAAACATGAAGTGTTAACATTAGGTTGACATTTCAAATACAATCTATTGGTTTCTGTAATGTGAAATCGATTGTGCCTTTAGGGTTGTGGGAAACTGCAAAGGAAGACTTTGAAGAAGTAATCTTGAACACGTTAGGTAAAAATCTGAAACAAAAAGGACTCTAATATAGGTTCCGATTATCTTAAGGGATGGCTCAACCTTTGACCAAGTTTGCATGCTTAGTTATAGTTATGTTTGAGTAAATATAATGGTCTACCCATCATCTAAACTGCAGATTATTATTTACAAACCATAGTGGCTGAAATCAAATATGGTAAATCATATCATAATCTGATTTAACATAATGTGTGATTCGATTTAGCATATCCCTATAATGCTGTTGTTTGGCATGGGGAAGGTAACATCGGATTGGAACTCATAAAATATTTGGCATTTGCTATGGAAAGGTCAAATTGCACATTCTCCAGAATGGCTTGTTACCTTCCAGATTGATCCTCTTCCTGTTCTCCAGTAAGCATGGAATGGTGAGAATTATAGTCTGATCCATCTGGAGAGCAACAGGTTGGATGAGACTGCTCCACAAGAATCCTTTTCTGGAAGCAAGCAAAGCAGATAAGAACTATAACTGTACAAAAAAGTTCTCCATGCTTTGACTTTGCTAGAGATAATTCAGTGTTATCCTACAGGGAAAATACAGGTTTCGTTCCCACCCAGAGTGAAATTTCAATATTAAAATAACCATAGTTAGCTTGATAATAACAAAAGACAACAAAAATGTTTATTCATCATGGTTGCTTTCATCAGCTAAACTTATCAGTGAATAAAAGAGGTAGGGTTAATTGCCAGGGGATAGAAAGGGGACAAAAAGTCAAAATGGTGGTCACAACTGCACAAGAAAGCCCCACTCCTTTTCTACATGTCTTGCATGTAAAAACAGAGTAAGACTTCAACTCATGTTGATGGCCATTGTTTGTTTATTTTACTCCTACTGGTTGCCTTGAGAGTGGTAGTATAGGAAAGTATAGGGGCAAATTCAAAGTATAGTCACAAACTAACTAGGATGATGAATCGCAGTGGGTATAAAGATATCTCACAATGTGTTACATGATTTTGAAAGAGGAAAGATAATTAGATTCAACTTCAGTTAGTGCAAATTGACAGAACATTTAGCTTTAGAAAGTTGAAAATCCTATCAACCATAACTCTGCCGAAGATCTAACAGATTTAATAAACTACAGTGAAAGATTATGTCCTTGGTAATCTGTAAAGTCTTGCAGTGTCACTTTTGCACCTGAAAAGTCAGCTAGAGTTACCCTGAAACTGAATTGAATTTAGAAACTAAAATTGTTTTTCCACTGCACATATATTTATTCCCTCTTCTTTCTAAAGAAAGGCTTAACTTAATCAACTTATGTAGAAATGTTGTCCAGAACTATGCATCATGTGTCTTCAAACTGGTGCCTTCTGGAAGTGTTGAGAATACAAGTCTCTCAATTTTCCAATCAGCATAGTCAATAGCTTTGCAAAGCCTGGCACATCATAAGAAAGAGGTCCTTGGATTTGGGGTATTGGTTGGCAATGGGTAGATGTCACTCATCAGGAGATTTATTCATTGTCAGTTAATTCTTGCCATCTGTAATTGTGAGGGTCTGTAATGATCTCTCTGTACTTGAGAGTTTTATAGCCTTTTGTCGTAGAATACATACAAAACATTTGTTATTAACAATAAAAGTGGGGGGACACTAGGCATATTAAACACTCATACAGTTATGTAAAAAGGCTGGGGGGGGAAACCTAGTAAAGGCAGT